TGTCTTTGTTCTTATTTGTAACTTAGCAAAAGAATACAAAGTAGAATGAATTTATTGAGTAGTATTTGCTGCCCTCTTTTGGTATCTAGACAGTAATACAGTTTGGTCAAATTCTTTCATGGAAAAAATAATCGAAAGAAATGATCTCTGTTGAAAAAATGTTGTTTTTGAGTCTCCTACAACAGGTTTACATGCATCAAAGGTCACCTCAAAAACGGTTTAATTTCCTCATAATATAGATTTGCACATCACCATATTTTCAATGATTCTCACAAGGGCGTAGGTTTGGTCTCAGCTTTGGTCTCAGCTTTGGTGGGGACATCCCTCCCCCTCGGTTTTTTAGCCAATCAAATAATGGTGTTTCTTGTACTGTCGTCCTGGCCGTCGGAATCGATCCAAATAGCAGCACTAGGAGTTCGCTAAAATATTGGTGGGGACAATTTTGTCATCTTAAAATATTGATTGGGTCTAGTACCTAGCGTCCCCCCCTAAACCTACGCCCATGGATTCTTAAACGACTCGTCAGATGAATCAATCTCTAAATCCCTCCTTTCCGTGACCTACTCTGCTCTGATTGGCCAGACAGCTCAGTCTGTTGTGATTGGTTTACCGCGCACAGCGCGTCGAAAACAAAAATGGCCAATGCCATAATATCAGCTCTGCTTGTCCTGAGGCTTCCTACACCGTAAATTAAACCGACTAACGAACAATGACGTCGATTGTACCATATCAATGCGAGCGCAAGTCCGAAGATGAAACATTGGAAGAACTATTCATTAAACCCGAACCTCCATCGCAAGGACAACTCGAGCAGGACGTTTCTCAGTGATATGCTAACGTTACTCAGTTTGCTTACCTCACCATCAGCATTAACAAGTGCATGTCCATCAACAAACCGATTATTTTACTTGCACTTATTTTATCGAGTATTTTTCTAATATATTGCGGTGAATACGTGGAAACTGTATCAATAACAGTGCATGTATGCAATGTATACATTAGCCGAGCTCTAGCGTGAATGACTGATGTAACATAAACGTTGGTAAAACAAATCTTGCTCCATGCTTAATCTTTCCTCAAAGTAGTGAGAACAACAGATAATCTGCATTAATAGACACAGTTTTAGGTAATAGTGGCCCACAACTGCTTTGCAGAAGTATTTCAGTAAGACCGTAATAACATGAGTTAGCCAGTTAGCAGGAGACCTACACAATATCAAACTCAAAACTAAGTATTTTGAACACTGTCTTTCAAGAGCAAGTGGTTTGCGTATCCTACATTTAACTCCGAGATTTGAGAAGCAGTCGTCAGTAAAATAAAGGGAACACCGCAAAAGTTTAGGATTATACTGCTGTGGTATCTTGGTAAAGATAAATTTTAACCACTGATTCTTCACATGCACGTCCTTGGGCAGTGAAAAAAAAACTGTCTTTAGCCAACGCTATCTCACGACCAATTCGTACGAATTTGTACGAATGATTAAAAGGTGGCTAATTCGTACGAATTCATACGAACTCACTCGTACGGATTCGTACGATTTGTCTAAACCCACGTGATGGGTAGGGGTCAGGGGTAGGTCATTCGTATGAATTCATATGAACTTGGAATTCGTAAAATATCAAGCGGCAACATTCTAATCTGAAAAATGAAGCCTACCCGGAAGTGCGAAAAACTGCAATACATCGAAAATCCGCTAGAGGGAGGTCCCAAAAGGGAGCAAATATCCATAGAGGGGTTTCACGACGCGTCATCAATCCGGAAGTCGGCCATTTTGGAGGCACAGAACGTAAATAATGCCACTGAACTGAATGGACTCGCAAATTTGGCTGATTATTGCTGCTGAAAAATGGTCGAGTTTTTGTCTGTACCAATCGGTCACATCGGGAAAAAACATGTCGAGTGCTATAGACTGTCAAAAGTTAAAGAGAAGAGTGCAAAAAACTGATGAAAGAAGGCGTTTGTGGTTGAGAGAGGTAGTACATCATCAGACAGGTGTAAATGAAGCGTTGACTATGGCTAAAATGTCGATTCACACTGTCAGTCCAAATCCAATTATCTTTGTATCAAATTGGAATCTGATCTAAAATGATGTCCACACTGTGTATCGCAACTGTTCAGATCCGACGTGTGTGTCCATGCATGTTATTTGGTAATATGGCAATGACTTCGCGTTGATGGAGGGGTTGCATTTGCAATATAATGTTAGATGTTGTCTTTTTTAAATGTTACAACATGGAAATGTGTATAGCCGCCGCGCTGGACTACTACGGCAGAACTAGGAGGCTGGTATGTAACGTTACTGCTTTTTTCCCACGCTCGTCTGCGCCGGTTTCAGAAATAATACTTTTCTGCTCGTCCGGCACTTTGCAACAACACAGCGAGCATTGTTTCGGCAGTGACTTTCAGCATGTTTCCTATAAATTACGTTTGCATTTTAAGACATACCACGCGAAATCCGATCGTTCAGACTGAGGCAGATGTCCTGATATGTGATTTGAATAGGATTTCAAACCACATATGGATGTAACTTGAAACGAATTTCATGTGCTTTTTTGGACTGACAATCTGAACGTATCTTATTTCGGGATAATAAATAGATGGAAGAATTGCAGTAATGTTACGTGCTAGAGAAGCTAACTCGTTCGGATCTTTAGCAGCTACCACATAATGTGACCACATAAAACATATTAACTTTAGTTTGTCAAAATGTTTCGCTCTGTCCTGCTTCCCAAGTCCTTCTCTATATGATTTCGCACCTACCACGTGTTTTTTCCGTGGTTTATTAGTGTAACAATGTGTTCAGTAGTACATGAACAGTGCAATCCATGCTGTTGTTTACATCCGAGTGCCTCCATAATGGCCGCGCATCCAGGTTACCACCCAGAACGTGACGTTGGTGAAACCCCTCTATAGACCGCATGTTAAAATGTCCGTTTTCACAGCATAAATTTATATGTTTACATGTTGGTCCCATGGACTTTTATTGTATTTTTGGATAGGTCCCGAGTGCCTGACAACTGTGAGGGGGGTGAATTTTTTTCTAACTCGGTAGTTTAGATCGTATTTAGATATAAAATGTATGACAAATAAGCGCGTGATTGACAGCTGATAACGGGCTGCGCCGAGTGGAATTCCTGAAATTTGACGCCTCGGCCATGATCTGACACAACACATCATACCACCTCTGTATCCTTTCTGAACATTTGTATTTGAAATATCGTAAGATTTTCCAAGAAGGCACCACCCATACCCCCCATAAACAGCCTCAAAACCGTTCTTCAGAAACTCTATGGGTGACGTCACAGACGCGTTGTCCATATTTTTTACAGTCTATGTAAAATATGTACGATTTAGAAAAAATCCTACAAATTCGTACGAGTCAGGTCGTATGAATTGTTACGAATTAGCCACTCGTACAAATTCGTACGAATTGGTCGTGAGATCGGGTTGCTTTAGCGTAGGCTTAGCGTAGGCTTCACATTGTAGAGCACAGGGTCTTCTCGACATGATGCTATCCAGTATCCACAGGAATCAGCTGCAGTGTTTGAGGGCGTTCAAGTTTTCCCTGGTGTCTGCGCGCGCAATAAGTTGGCGGGGCAATTAGCTAATGTTTCGTCTTGACGTCACGACGAAACGGCTTATGACTCGTTTGAAAAACGATTCATTTCATTGACTCAGTCGACTCTTACTTTTGAAAGACAATAACTTAATATACGGTGCCCTTTCAGATTTAAAACTTGGATGTTTTCATTCACTTAGAGCTATGTCACACACTACATGAAAGGTCATTTTCAAAAATCCATAATAGGAGCCCTTTAAGCATTTCTTCTAAGCTGCTTAGGGCTTAAAATGCTTTGTATGTAGCATTCAGATTATGGAAATTGTACTAGAAATTTGCACTATTGTTCAATTCAAAATGCTAGTGTTCTTGCTTGAAAATTATAAATAAACTTAAGGCAAGTAAACTTTTTATTTACAAATCTTGTTGATAGGAAATGATAAACTCTAATTGACTTAATTAAATGTGTTTTTGAATACATGAATACTCATCAAAAATATTTAATATACATTACTGTTGAAGTGTCTGGTCGGTGAGATTTTATGATGGATCGATGGCACCAAGTCTACACCAAACATGTGTGGTACATTGTCTTGATAATCAGCACACATCTTGTTGTCTGTCCTCTCTGTATGTTTGATTATAAATATTTTTAATTTGAAAAGTGATTCACAGTATAGTTGTATCCAGTTCACTGCCCTAAAATGACAGAGGGGTGAACTGGCATGGCCAGAAATCTTTTTTCCCCTTTTGACCTATAAAATGAAATGTTGATCAAGATTTACCATGAAAGCAGATTTATTCCTTTATACATTTATAATGCGATTAAATTTTTGATCCTGCACCATAGGCTAAATTTCTGAATTTGAACGCTATAAGCAACGGCTTTATTTGGAGAGGGTCAATGGAAGAAATCACACTATCTATCCTTGCTAGTTTGTAATCGGGCTAAAGACCAGCCCGCAAACATAAAGCAGAAGAAAATGTTAGAGAGACGAGCACAAACAGGATTCTCATTGAGGATTAGTGGTTTTACACTTAAGGGAGGGGAATTCGAGACAGCCTACACATAAGCCTAAAAAGAGATGCTCTGCAGTTGCATCACCCGTTTTTTGTGTTTTTTTTTTTAAAGTCCTAAATGACAAGAGGATTTTAGAAGCAGATTCTCTTTTATGAGTGTCTGTGTGTGGCGAGTATCTGTTTCTACGGGAGCTGAACTGAAGAGTCCTGGCCAAGCTGGCGGAACAGACCGACAACCAGGACAGCTGGATTCAGCTGGTTTACCTCCACTTGGGGGAGTGTAAGTCACTCCTGGATGTTTCCGAGCTTTTATTGGAGTTTCAAAGGAGTGCATCTGGACTTGTGGTCTGTCAACTAGGTTGAGTGTCAGTATTTTCGCAGGTTGTTAATCGATTTTTGCTTTCTGTTTTTTTCTTTCCAGGTGACCTGGCCCAACTTGTGCTGCCTTATAAAAACGTAGAAGTGATCCAAGGGAAGATGGTAGTGCTGCAGGCTTCTTTCACTGGTGCTGAGATACAGAAGAACACGGTCGTCTGGAACTACATGTCCACCAGCACAGAAATGGTGACTGTCTTTTGCTATATGTTGCTTTTCTTTGAATGAGTTGGCAGTGACAGCAGTGTCCTGCAGTTTGATATGTAAAACTTCTTCTAAAAATGTTTTATTTTTAAGATGATTTTTTTTAGTATACAAATTTTTTTTAATGTACTTTATTTTTATGTTAGTCATATTAATTGAGAGACTGCATGCAATATTAGTACGTAATACACATCAAATTGTCTCACTGCAGAACCACTGAAGTGAAAAACATTTTTATTTAAATGGTGACTTTTAAAAAATGATATATAAAAACCCTAAAATCTTGATGTTAAAATACATGGACATGTTATTTGTCACCTTTCCTAAAATAAAGGATAATTTCAAGAGTCATTCAAGAATTTATGACATATACAGTTATATACAGAATATATCTTGGTCAACCTGGTCAGCTGAGACTGTGAATTAAATGCAAATAAATTGTAGGTAAAATGGTCAAATAAGATGAACATAAGAAATAATAATGAAAAAAATAAGTAATACTTATAAACATTATTACTAAAACATTATTAACAGCATATACAATAATAATATAACATAACAAAATTAGGCAAGTAGGATTAAAAAACACCTGAGTTAGTGCAATGACTGAACACAGTAGATTAAGACAACAAGAAGTCAGTTAGTAGTAGTAATAACATGAGTTAAAGCATGACTTAAAGGACAAGTTCGGTATTTTACACTTAAAGCCCTGTTTCAAGATCGTTTCTGATGAAATAGAACGGTTAAGATAAAAATTTGGACACATGCTGCTGTCCCAAGAAATTTCGGTTTCTGTGGTTGCACCCCCCACCTCCACAATGGTTGCATAGGTGGACAAAACGCATTAAACTTTAGTTTACAAAGATGTTAAACTCACAGAGTGGTCAGGGGTGTTCACTGATATGCTCACACAAAAATCGCTGAAAAAGATGCTTTCCAACAGGTTTTATCATAGTTTTTGAACAACTCCATTTGACTTGACTTGCATGTGTCCAAATTTTAATCTTAACCATTCTATTTCATCAGAAATGATCTTGAAACAGGGCTTCAAGTGTAAAATAACGAACTTGTCCTTTAAGCTTGTCAAAGTAAAACTTACCCATATAATGTGCTTTAGTTACTAATAAACAATTAATGCTTATTATGGTAATAATTATAAGGTGGTTATTATTGAGGGATTTCTTAAGCTCTTTTTTTTAAAATAAATGAGAGACAATGTATTATTATAAAAGACTATAATATTCAATGAACTATGAAATATATCAATACTATATCATATATCAGTACTTGTTAGGGAAGTCTTTGTTATGATTTTATTATAAAACCGTAGGGAACAAAAGTGATATTCAGCCTAGGAAAACTGACATCTTCACCCTTTACTCAAATATTATCACAGATTTGTTAGATTTTGTAAGCATATTGCATAGTTGTGCTAGGAGTCAATTGTTTTGATTTGTGATAACGCAGTGAAACTAAATATTATGCGAACGTAATTTTTGGCCAGACTGTCACAGAGAAATTATGAACGCATGCAAAGACGAGATAACCACCAAAATATTAATAACTGAATATGTTAGTCAATATAGGATTTTTCCTGTGAGCTTTTTTTTTTCTATAGTAAAATATAACTTGTAGCTGTAGTTTGACTTTTTTGCCAAATAATTTTGTCAGATAAATAAATACCTTAACCAAGTTCAGTGTTTAAAAACAAATGTCCCCTTTGGACATCACTTTTGCCCACTACTGAGTAATGTAATGAGCTCAGTATCTTAGGTCATGTGCACATTGGCTGTTTTTAATCAGATTTCATAGTTTTATAAAAACAAATCTTCATAATGTGTTATAGATGGATTCTTTTGGAGTAGTTAAGAACATAACATGACATGCAGCTGATGGAATATAATGTCTGTCCCTGGTCACTCAGACTCTTGAGTTCCAGAGGTCAAGAGTGCACACAGAATAAATCCTGCTCCTCATTATCATACACACTCAAGTACTCGTGTGAACATGTTTCCAGTGCAGTACGGCGAGAGGATTCAGCAAAGATTTATAATGAAATCTGATAATGTTATGTCCATCCAAATTAGATTTCCAAATGGTATGGTATTGTGAGTGGGATCATTCCTTAGTTTTTGTGCAGATGCCAGAAAGTTTAGCACCATCTGTGCATGTTGTGATTTGGATTATGAATGGCTGAGACTTTATGGAAAAATATTGTGGACCGATTTTTAAAATAAAACATCAGAAGCTCTTAAAAATTATACACTTTTTAATAAATATATTTTTAATTCAGTTGAATCATTTTGAATGGATGCTCATATCACACTGTCATCGCAGAATTCCTTTGTGTTAACCATTCTGAAACTACAAGAAGTCATGTGGGTCATCACAGCAGACTACAACTCATATTGCCTTTGATTAAGTTCAGGCCATCTTACTTTAAGAGCTAGTATAATACTGAGATTGAAATGTCCACTCTTGGCAGCAATTCTCTTTCATTTTGGATTACATGGCATCTCATTAGAGAGTAAGAAACCGTATTATCTGCAGATTGTAAAATCCTCTATCCTGCATTTTCTTCAGTTGAGATTAACTCTGCTCACTGAAGGGTTATTCGGTTATGAATCTTTTAGACCTGTCCACTGAGAAATTCTGTCTCTGCCTCTAAAAGATTGATGATCTTACGTCACTCCATTTTTTTTATTGTACCTTTGTGCAGTGGTTTTGAAATTTACTGTAAATTTTTAAAAATTTGTCAAAAAATTTTGACATTAGTAATAGAATTGTCTTTTGTGTGTGTGTGTATAATTTATATTATTATTTATTTATTTATTAATACCTCCCATATATTTATATTTTATTAAAAGATATTTATATTTTCGATAATTATGATTTGTTATTGTAAGGACAAAGTGGGTGTTTTCAATAATTTTATGTTTTTGGAAGTGCTTATGCTCTTCAAGGCTGTATTTCTTTGAATAAAAATACAATAATATTGTTAAATATTATTAAAAATATTTATTTTTTATGTATTTTGTAGTGTATTTAATTCCTGTGATGGCAAAGCTGAATTTTCAGCATCATTCCTCCAGTCTTCAGTGACATACATTCTAATATACTCCGTTATTACCGGTGCTCAATTTATTATCAATATTGAAAAAGTTTTTGCTGCTTAAGATTTTTGTGGCTTAGAATTCTTTGAAAAGAAAGTTCAAAAGAACAAAATTTATTTGTTAAAAAAAATCTTTTGTAATATTATAAATGTCTTTTATTGACACTTTTGATCATTTTAATGCATCCTAAAAGTAATGGCGGATAAAAGTAATAATTTTTAGACTTTTTTTATTTTTTATTACTCTCCCCAACTTTTGTTTGGTAGTGTATCCCAGTTTAAAAAACAAAACAAAAACACTCACACACACAAAGTATTTATAAGAAATGTTTCTCGAGCAGCAAACCAGCATATTATAATGGTTTCTGAAGGATCATGTGACTGAAGACTGGAGTAATGATGCTGAAAAGTTTGTCATCACAAGAAAATAATACATTTTTAATATATTCAAATAGAAAAGTTTTTTTAAATTCTAAAAATATTTCAAAATATTGCCGTTTCTGTATTTTTTCATCTAATAAATGCCTTTATGAGCATAATGTTTCAAAAACATTAGATTAAATGCATTTCATGTAATTTATATATTAATACATGCATATTGTGAAAGATTCTCAGAATTGGCAGAATTGTTATCAACTGTTCATTCCTCATTTGTAATTATGATCCCTCTCAACCACCTCTTTGTCTTTCTTTAGATCATCTCATACGTCAGTGGAGAGTTAAGTCATAGCACTTCCCAGTTTGCAGGTCGAGTTGGTTTTGTCCATCAAATGCCCAACACCAACCTATCCCTGTTCATTAACAATACCAAAGCATCGGACTCAGGGAAGTACATGTGCCAGGTCATGATCCCTGGGGCCACAGGACCCACCGGAGAGCTAATGCTTAATGTTAAAGGTGAGTACTTGCTGCCACACTGTGGCGCACACATGCAAAGTCATAAAACACACAAGCCTATGCACATGTCAGATGCAGAAACATGTGCATCATCTAATCCTCTTTCAAATGTGTTCTGTGACACAGGCCACATATTCTTTTTTTCAAACACTTAATTCTGGAAGTGCAGCTTTTCACAGAAAGAGCATCTAAAAAATTATTTTACTCCACATTTAACATCACATCATTTAACATCACATCATGTCTCTTTTTCAGTTCCTCCTTCAGTGCCGGTGTGTCAAGTTAAAGAAAAGCCTGTTCTTAAAGGAAACATAACTCTGGCCTGTAACTCTAATGATGGTAAACCGTCCCCCAAATATAAGTGGACCAAGACGAGCCCTACCTCAGAAGTCTTTTTCTCTCCCGCACTAAGTGAGTCTATCTATGTAAGACACAAGAATATGTTTTACATAATGTATTAATTTCAATCTTCTTTCTAATAGCATATTGTGTCTCTACTTGGCAGTTTCACATTTCAACATGTTTCCCCAAAAAGGAAAAATCCCTAATGTCTTTCAATCACGTTTGACTGTATGTCTTTTGTGGAAAAGAGATGAATTTTTGAGGAATGTCCCAGTCACTAACAAAGAAAGCACCATAAATATATACTAAAAGTCATCTACGTGACTCTGGATCCATTCGCAACGGTTAACAGCTCACTTGGAGATAAGGTTATTCATGAATATTCACTTTATTTTGGTTGGTTTGACTATCGCATGACTTTGCAATACAGCACACGGGTCATTGACCACTTTTAGGATACTATGAAGGTGCTTTTTTTGAAGCTTGAGCTTCAGTGAAAAAAAGAATATAATTGAGTTTTATGAACTATTATATTAAAAATTATATTATATAAAAATATTATATTACACAAAATATTTCCTTTTGTGTTCCACGGAGGAAAGTAAGTCATGCGAGTTTTGAACTTTGAATAAATGAATAAATTATTTCAGTATTTTCATTTTGGACTAAACTAATCCTTTAAGCGTGATGGGGAAACAGTTTGGGCTGAGATTAAACCTTAAACAATCATAATTATATAATTCTCGAGGCGCTGGAATAAAATCCTTGGATATCTTGGATAAACATTCAGCTAGCAGGACTTTATCGGTTACTGTCACGCGATCTCTGTTTCAAATATTCGATTTTTTGGGACCTCTGGCTAAGTTATTTTTTGTAAAAATGCATTTCTGACTTTAACCTCACACTGTTGTGTTGTTGTAGATGAAACGGCAGGAACTTTAAAGCTGAACAATCTGAGCAGTAATATGTCAGGAAAATACGTGTGCACTTCATCCAACTCTGCAGGAGAGGAGACTTGTTACATCAACCTGGAGGTCATCACATGTATGTACTGATGTTTGGTCATTACATAAACTCGTTCAAAAGTTTGGGGGACATTTTTTTGGGGAACTTTTATTCAGCATTAAATTGATCAATCAAAAGTGGCAATAAATACATTTACATTAAAATGCCATTAACTTTCTATTCATTAAAGAAATGTGTTACGGCTTTCTCTAAAACGTTAAGTAGTGTAACCGGTCCTACTCGACCCACTTCAAGCGGGATTCGAACCAGAGTCTCCAGCGTGGTAGGCTGGCACGTTAACAAGGGGTCTTTAACATTAAAGAGTCAAGACCCCCACAGCCTCATGAGATCAACCTCACTCCCATCCAAGTCAACGGCACCAAATGTAGCCGGTCCGTGCTAACAAGGACGCTAAAGACTGCAGCCGCTAGCGCTCCTCTTGAGGCCAGGGGAGTGAGGTTTACACACACTGCTCTTACTGGTCTATGTTCGTTTCAGTAGCATGACTGTTTTCAACATTGACAATAATAAGAAATGTTTCTTTAGCACCTAATTTCTGAAGGTTCATGTGACACAAAGACTGAAAATTCAGCTTTGCCATCTCAGGAATAAATTACATTTTAGGTAAAACAGAAACAATACAATAGAAAACAGTTATTTTAAATTGTAATAATAGTTCACAGTATTACTGTATTTTTGAATAACAATTATTATTTTTTAAATAACAAAAGAACATAAGAGACTTCTTTCAAAAACATTAAAAAATAAATCGTATTGACCCCAAACTTTTGAATGGTAATGTATTTGTTTATTCTGTCTTTCATTAACTTAACCTGTTCTTTTTGTGCAGCAACTAATGCTGGGATGATCGCTGGTGTTACGGTTGGTTGTATTGTGGCTCTCATTCTGATCATTCTCTTCCTCTTCTTCATGTGGACAAGACGGAAAGAGACAGAGGAGGATTTGGCCAATGAAATCAAGTAAGATAATTATGATTTATTGCTTGATTGTTACGTATTAAAGTCTGCTCCCACAAACACTCACAACAAGCAATTGAATGCTACGGAGCCCCCCTAGTCCCACTTTGTCAAAAAAATTTATTATAACTATCTCGTGGCCTCAAGATAAGTAACTCGTGGCCTCAAGATAGTAACTCGTGGCCTCAAGATAGTAACTCGTGGCCTCAAGATAGTAAGATAGTATCTCGTGGCCTCAAGATAGTATCTCGTGGCCTCAAGATAGTATCTCGTGGCCTCAAGATAGTAACTCGTGGCCTCAAGATAGTAACTCGTGGCCTCAAGATAGTAACTCGTGGCCTCAAGATAGTATCTAGTGGCCTCAAGATAGTAACTCGTGGCCTCAAGATAGTAACTCGTGGCCTCAAGATAGTAACTCGTGGCCTCAAGATAGTAACTCGTGGCCTCAAGATAGTAACTCGTGGCCTCAAGATAGTAACTCGTGGCCTCAAGATAGTATCTCGTGGCCTCAAGATAGTAACTCGTGGCCTCAAGATAGTAACTCGTGGCCTCAAGATAGTAACTCGTGGCCTCAAGATAGTATCTTGTGGCCTCAAGATAGTAACTCGTGGCCTCAAGATAGTAACTCGTGGCCTCAAGATAGTAACTCGTGGCCTCAAGATAGTAACTCGTGGCCTCAAGATAGTATCTCGTGGCCTCAAGATAGTATCTCGTGGCCTCAAGATAGTATCTTATTGACAATAATTTTTTTGACAAAGTGGGACTAGGGGGGCTCCGTAGAATGCAGCAAAAAGTAGGAGTTTATTTTAGACAAAAAAGGGGACAATAACTAAAAAAAACAACAGGCCAACATAACAAATAGGAAACCTCTAACTTGGGTTATGCATCTTTCCTAAATCAAAGCAAAAAGCAAAATAAAACATGTTTTTACCTTCCTATTAGCTATTCGTAAACAGGAGAAAATGCGTTTTAAAATAAATTAGCACCCCACTCCCTACGAAGTTAGCACCCTTAAAAGTAGTACTTTTACGTGATTCAATACAATTACCAGTTTACACCGTTTTAACAATTCAACTCCCCACAAGGAGCGTAGTTAAATTGTGTCATCATTTACTCAGCCTCAAGTTGTTCCAAACCTGTATGAATTTCTTTATTCTGCTGAACACAAAGGAAGATATTTAGAAAAATGTCTGTAACCAAACAGTTGTGGGTCACCGTTGATTTCCATAATATGAAAAAAAAAAAATACTATGGAAGTCAATGGTTGGTTACTGAGATTCTTCAAAATATATTCTATTATTTATCTTCCACATAACAAAGAAATTCATACAGGTTTGGAACAACTTGAGGGTGAGTAAATGATGACAGAATGTTAATTTTAGGGTGAACTATCCCTTTAAGTAATCTTAGCGCATTGCACAAAGGCTGAAGGCACACAGTTAAATAGGCTTAGCAGGTTTCACAAATGCTAAGAGGGCACACACGTAAACATGTCTGAAGCAAGAGAGGGGAACTCAAAGAACGGATATCCTCACTCTGCCAAGCCACTCCAACCCGCTAGTATATTCAACCACACCTGTCGCACTCTGAGTGTGGAGAACGAGAAGAACACAAACACACGTGCCCACACATATACCCTCCCACACAACAGGGACATATGAGTAAAAACACCGGTACGTCCAAGAACATGATAATAACTTGTGTAGACACTAAGTGTTTTTGTGTGTTACAGGGAGGATGCTCAGGCGCCCAAACGCGTCTCATGGGCCAAGAGTGGCACTGGATCTGACATCATCTCTAAAAACGGCACCCTGTCCTCCATTCAGACCAGCTCTTACCCACGAGACCCGCACAATCACCACCATTACCCTCACTCCGACACTGCATCCATCACCACGGCCACTGGCAGCATAGCCGCCTACCGCGCACAGCCTCCGGCAGACGCCAACCTGGAGCGCACGTTGCCGGGCTACAACACCAACCCTACCCTGCCCCGCGGGCCATTGGGACCCCCTAGCACCAACGGAGGCTCCCATCATACCTCACTGCCCCGGACAGCCTCTGCTCAGCCTCAGATTCCACGTCCGCCAGTGCTGCCCACCACCGTAACTGCGGCCAATATCTCCCGCATGGGAGGGGTACCCATTATGGTGCCGGCGCAAAACCAGGCCGGCTCTCTGGTGTAAGACCAATCCCTTCTGCTGAAGAGAGAAGGAGGACCTCACATCTGCGGACCTACAAACTGAAGCACATTAAAAAGGATGGACTGGAACCAATAAGCTTTTTGCCTCTGTATGGAAACAGCATGGTGTAATTTTCTTTATTTACATTTTTTATTTTATTTTTTATATATAAGTAACGTAAACAAACAAATATAAAAATGCTCATTGTATTGTTTTATAAATTCATCGTTTTTTTACTGTTCAAAGTATTACTGAAAAGCCTCTCCTTTCTGTAAAGTGGAACTTGTTAAACGGTAAACAAAAAGACACTGAGATGTTTGCATTATTCGCATTTCTTTTCATGAAAAACATTTTATTTTTATGTTCTTGTTACTGTTTTGCTGATTGTTCTTTTGCAAACTAAAGATGCTAACTTGCCTTGATGAAAACAAATGAAAGGTCTATTCGACGTTATTTACAGACACTCCTCATTGATAATTACGTTTACACACGATCAATAGCATATGTTTCATAGCCGCATTGGTTAAAGAAAATGTCGAGGACCTCACTTAAAGTGGCATCATATTAAGTTGCAATATTTGCCTTTAAATGTTTTTTGGCCAAATATATTTCAAAACGAACCCGTGTTGTTATCTCTTAGAGATATATGGTAGCATTTTTCAATTTAGAAGTGTAAAATTTGGCGGTATCTTAATCTATATTGTGGTTTTGTACCCCATGATTCTATTTTACAACTTCGATAATGTATTGTATTGATGTAAACAATAATTAAAAACATTCATTCCTTTACCTTACTGTAAATAAGGTATTTATTTCTCATTCTAGGTCTGTGGTTATTTAATGGCAGCAAATAAGTTTATGATTTATCTGGTATACTGGATACAAAACCAAAGATTTCCTGTTCAGTGGTTGTAGATGTGGAAGTAAAAGGGGTTGTGAATGGCAGTTCATGTCAACTTTATAGGAGACAATGAATCACAATAGCGTGTCTGTAAATATGGCAAAATTCATGTTATATATATTTTTTAATTTACCACATAATTCATAAATGCTATTTAAAAACTGCTGTATTTTTCTTCTTTTTTTTCAAACAAAAACTTTTATGTACTCAACTGTGCAACTGACTGTTTTTCCAAGCACAAAATATTTTTTATTTAATTAGAAATGTTTTATTGCCTGTACCCATGTCAATATTTTTGTCATCTGCAGACTGGATAACCTCATTGTTCTGTAATATAGGACATATACCATCTATGGACATGAAAACACTTTGTATTCATATTTTGAATAAAAGAAACTGGCTGTAAAAATTCAGTCTAGCTGTTTATTTACAAGGAAATACGATATGTAGTAAAGTTATACGGTCATATATTTGTGTTGCAGTTCAAATGCCTATTTGTTTAATTGTTAATTAATTACCCGTTTAAAAGATATCTGTTAATGCTAAGAGGCTGTCTAATGCTAAAAAAACAAACAAAAAAGTGTCCTTTTAAAGATAAAAATGCACGACAAAAACAGTCATGCGCATTATTTTTCGCGCACTTTTCAACGAAAGCTTTTAAGGGAATGGTTAAGAACGAAGATTCAGTTGACTCTAAAAAGAAGACAGCGGAAGGTAAGATACTAGTGTTTTATGACATTTCTAGTGATACGTTATTAATAATATTTGGAAAATATAAAAAATTAGCACGTTATGTATTAAATAAGCTGCATTTTAGCAGGGTCAGTATTGCTAAGCTAACGTGACTGGCAGTAGATCTCCACAAATGTCAAGATGTTTACAAAAGTCAAGATGTTTACACGAGCAAAAAATAATTCTTGTTTTTATATTTTATCTGACATTTGATATATTTCAAATATGGTTCTAAACACTGTAGCTAATCATAATTTAAATTAAATGATCCAATTAACGTTATATAATGATTCAACAGACAAAAGTAAATGAACATCACGGTTTGTAATATATTAGGGAAAAAATCCTTTCATAAAGGTAAAATGCCCCTGAATATCAGTCCCAGGGGACTAAACACCGCTTAATAAATATAATGTAATATAAAGCAGATCTAGAAAAGTCACTCACACACCATGACTCTGGAAACTTTATTTTATTTTATTTTTTATAATGATGAACTTAGGCTAATGGTATTATCAACAGTTTTGATGTCACCTGTTTATTAGGGTTAACAAACCAACACTTGTAAGCATAATGTTTCACTAAAGGCCACATCAAAAATCCTCCTGTAATGCTGTTGTCAATACGCTTGTGCTTATGATTATCTGCGTATGACTGACCTCTAGTGAAATGTTGCGGTATTACAATGAATCAGTCATTCAGTTTTTTACAGGGTTTGACATTTATTGGAACTGTAACTCAGTCAGCAATACTTCAAATTCCTCCATGCCCCTTAGTAAATAAGAAATATATACATTAAAGAAGCACAAGTCATGAATGAAAGTTAAAGTTAATTAAAAAAAAAAGTTTTATTAGATAAATGGATCATCAAAGAAACCACATTATGTAGAACTATAATTAATTCATACATAGGATGAAAAAAAAAGAAAAGTCACAAGGTTTCTCCCTATAACTTGGCATTAATGTAGAACACTAAAACATGCTGTATCTTCAACCAACCTCTGCTGAAATGAAGCCACAATACTAAAACGGCAAAAAGCAGAATGTCTGGATGGATTATTTTCAAATATGCTCTCGAAATCAATGCATCTGCGCCTTCAGAAGATTGTGAATAATGCCCTTCTCATCATCACCTGTGTTCAGAACGGATGTGAATTATCAAGTAAAATGCCTTATGTTATGCATATCTTTCAAAAGGAAAATAGTACCTGATCGTAGAGTTAAACCGATTATAGGTCACCTGTTACGCTTACACGTTCCATATGGCTTTTGGCCTGAAGTAACGTACATAGTAGAAAACATGTAAAGCACCAGGCGCTGTGGTATGAACGTCGTGGATATGTGAATACAGGAAGGGCAGTGAGATGAGCAAGGTCAAAGGTCATTAGATAAGCAAGAGAAGGATGGTTAGATGTTCAGGGTCCCTCGCTGATACTGGGTAAGGGAGCTCATGCAGCTGGGCTGGAGAACTGAGAGAGGAGAAACGAAGACACCTGGCCTCTCCACAGTCTCACCAACAGCAGATCACGCTCAGGACTTTAGGTAGGACACAGAACTGCAGGATGGAGATATGATCAGGTATTAATGGGCTCAATGCTACTAAAAGTCTAGAATAAAATGTTCTTCATACAACATATATTTATTTATGAGAATATTTAGAGCTGGAGAACAGTATTACCCTGGGAATCCGTTTTTTGAATGAAATGCATTATTATCTCAAAAGTGCAATTTCTATTTCTTACACTGCCCGGCCCCAAAAAATAGGCAAATGATTAAGAGTCTATGATTGCATCACTATTGCAGTGATTATATGTTTCTAGCATGCTATGTTTTGGCAACAGTTCTTCAAACCATAATTGATGGAGTGTAGCTTTTCATTTCTTAAACAATCACGTAGGAAGACACATCATGGTCATTTTCCAGGAGGACAATGTCAAGATTTCTCAGGCTCAAATTGTGAAAGAATGGTTGGGAGGGAGCATGAAGAATCATTTTCACATTAACTGGCACCTCTGAGTTCAGACCTTTAAATTCATTGAAAGTCTTTGGGATGTGCCGGAGGAGACTTTACAGAGTGCTGGACTCTTGCATTGTCAATACAAGATCTTGACCAAAAATTGATGCACCTCTTGATGGAAATAAATGTGATGTTATTTCCATTGTTCCATATTCCATTTTTATATATAAAAATGGAATATTATAAATATACAAAATATCCATTTTGTATATTTATCTTTTGACCTATTTAAGAGTCACAGTTACTTTCTCTAAATTATCTTAATAAATAATAATACTACATAAATCACAATAAAAACCTCAAATACACCTCATGGAACAATAAAAAAAAATTATAATTCTGGAACAGTGAAAATATTTTAGATTTACCTTTTAATATATAGTCAGTCAGGAGGGTTGGGACCTTCTCACTGTCTTCTTTCATGGCGTACAGAACTGCAAAACAATATTATAGGCTATTTTATTTATGCAATTGGCAGATACTTTTATTCAAAGCCTTCAATGTACACATACATTTTTATCAGTTCAAGCTCAAACCCATGAGGTTGGCGTTGTAAGCGTCATACTGTTTGAGCTACAGAAGAGCCCTATATTATATAGTTGAATTATTAATGCAGTTCAGTACACTTACTTTTTGTGAGCATTTGCAAGTCATCGACAGATGGAGGAGTCACTTTTTTCTCATATGGGATGACTGTGTTTAGGTACTTTTGACCACACACAAGAAAAACACAGACACAGTTTACGATCAGATTTTATACCTGCATACAGTATATATGTTTAATCCAGCATAAATGTAATCCAGCACATTAACTGAAATGCTCATCCTCACCTGTTTTTCTGTCCCTGAGGTCCCAAAGGTCTGTCTGATCCCTGTCTGCAGGATGTTGGACAGACCCTCCATGCTGAAGCGCTGGAAAACATTCAAATTTAAAATACTTAGTACCAGATGTTTCTGTTTTCATACAGTACAGTGCAAGCTAGAGAAAAGATCTGGTAAGGATTTAAAACTATTAATTGTATTTCTATGGTTTTATATATATATATATAATTAAAAATAAAATATAAAGAATGTATTATAAATATTAAAAATATATTTTTTAAATTAATAATATCAGCCATTTATCAGTTATCAGTCATAAAATAAAAATATTTATCAGTTTATAATAATGGACAAAAAAAAGTATTTCTTTACACACTACTTTCTTTTTCTATACCCAGTTTCGACAAAAACAACAACAACCTTTCACTTTTATTGGCTAAAATCCCAGGCTTCCGTGTTCAGGAAAATGGTGCATGCATAGTATATTCAATTTGAGATTCACAATTTGCCACATTTACTAACTCTAGTCTCTGTGTACAAAATGACTAAAATGATCATTCCAAATCCATCCCTGTGAGAACATGGATGTTGAGGACACAGAGATGCAGTTACTTGCATGATGTAATGGAATCACAGCTGCATTACAGTAAGAGGAAGCTAGTATTGCCTTCACAGCTCATACTGCAGGGGAATGCTTCCTCTGCTCGTCCAGTAAGTGCTAAGTGCAGCTAAAGAGTGATGGGCTGGGATCTATTAACCATAGAGAGAGAGATGTCTGTGTCTGGAGACTGGATGGAGGTAAACATCATGCATCTACTTTCAACACACTTACCTTCGCAGGCATGCTCCCAATCTTCTCGGAGCGGGTAGATCCTTGTAGACTCATGGCCTTGTCCTTACGCCTGCGCTTGCTCAGCTCCCTTTGCTCCTTCTGTCTGTTCTGGACCTCCATTAGAGCTGTGATGAAGGTGTTCTTCACCTCTTTCTCGAACTCCAGCTCGTCCCTCCGGGCCAGCTGAGTTACCAGTTCCTCCGAATACTCTCGTATTGCCGCCTCCACCCGACACAAGATGTCAAGCAGCGCCGAGCTCGGCATCAGCCTCAGACCTGCATGACAAACGGCATAATAACATCCAGTTTCAAAAGCGAGCAACACTTGACATTCACACTGTGAGAGTGACTAATGATGGGCTTTGACTTAATATTTCTTTAGTGTTGCTTTCAGTCGACATGGGCTATTTTTCATTCACTTTTGTTCACTATTTTCTCAATAGACATCTGTTTTTTATTCCTGACCTTGATCTAGTAATATAAAGGTACTTCTCATAATAATGATTTTTGCTGATGAACCTCACGCTGTTGCTTGTATTTTAACCATAAAGATAAACATAATCTGTTACCTGTCCATTTAGATACCAACTAAATTTAAAGCAGTATTAGTACGTTTTATTCCATCTTAATGTATAGTTTCATCTGAAGAATGTATTTATTAATTGCAGGTTTATCTGGGCACCTTCATAAGAGCAGTTGTTGTTGGAGGCCTGAGACAGCATGCGGATCTCCT